ACCTTCCTAATGCCACAACCCTTTAATACAGTTCCTCATGTTGTGGTGACCCCCAACCATAAAATTATTTTCATTGCTACTTCATAACTGTAATTTTGCTACTGTTATGAATCATAATGTAAATATCTGATATGCAGGATATATTTTCATTGTTACAAATTGAACATAATTAAAGCATAGTGATTAATCACAAAAGCAATATGTAATTATATATGTGTTTTCCAATGGTCTTAGGCCACCCCTGTGAAAGGGTCGTTCGACCCCCAAAGGGGTCATGAACCACAGATTGAGAACCGATGTTCTAAAGGCTGTCTGTATTCCTTGGTTTGTGGCCTCATCTTCTAAAATATTGGATTGATTCCTCACACTGTTTCACTTTGACTCTTCTGTATCACATCTATTTTTAGATTCTCTTATTTTGTCTTCCTCTTCTGCTTTTAAGGTCTTGTGATTGCAATTCTTGTGATTACATTGGACCCACTTGGATAGTTTAGGGTAATCTTTCTATTTTAATGCCAGTTGTTTAACAACATAAATTACATTTGCTATCTTAATTATCCTTTGTCACTTACTAGTAAAGTAATATATTGAAAAGTTCCAGAAATTAAGAATGACATATTTGGGGATGTATACCACAATTAAAATATGCATATGTGATTTTTCAATCTACTGTTATCAGCATTTTACCACTTTAGTGAAATGTGGGAACCTCACTTCCATTTAGGTACCTTTTCATTCTTCACTTTTAAATATCATTGTCTTAATATTAGGTTGTATGATAATTTTTGTTGTAATCATCAAATGAGATTTATAAAACTCATGATAAAAGGAATAATCTATTGTATGTACACATATATCTTATCTTTCCATTGTTCCCTTTTTGTTTCTTATGTTCTAAGAGTATTTATTTTACCAATTAATTTATGTTTGAAGAAATTCACTCTTATAATAATTAAGAATGGGTCTGGTAATGAGAAATTCTTTTAGTTTTTCTTTAAGATTGTCTTTAGTTCTTCTTTGTTCTCAAAGGATAGTTTTGCTGGATATAAAATATTCTTTCTTTTAGCACTTGAAAAATATTGTGCCACTTCCTTTTGGCCTCTGTGGTTTCAGGTAAGGAATCTTTTGCGACTCAGATTGGTGTTCTCCTATAGGTAATTCATCTTTTCTCGTTGGCTACTTTCAAGATTATATTCTTTATTTGTAATTTTCTAAACTTTAATTATGATATATCTTGGCGAGGATTTCTTTAGGTTTATTCAGTTTTACTCAGCTTCTTGAATCTGTGTGGGGTTTTTTTCTTTACCAAATGTAGAAAGTTTTCAGATATTATTTCTTTGAATACTGTTTTAGTTCCACTCTCTTTTCCATCCTCTTGCACTCTGCTAACACACATATTCCATCTTCGTTATGGTTCCACAAGTCTCTGAGACTCTTCAATTTTTTTTCTTAGTCTGTTTTTTCTCTGTGGTACAGAATGAGCGGCAGATTTACCTGTGTTCAAGTTCACTGATTTCTATCCTGTGTCATCGCCACTCTACTAATGAGCATATCCAGTGACTTTTTTATGTTGTTATATTTTTTTATTTATGTAATTTCTACTTTGTTTTCTTTTATAGCCTCTATTTACTTGCTGAGAAATTTCTATTCTTTTATTTTTTAAAAGACTCTGACTTTGAAGTATTTTTATGATGGCTTCCTTAAAATTCTTGTCAGATGATCCTGACATCTGAGTCATCTCAGTGCTAGCAATAGTTGATTGTCTTTCCCACCAAAGATGTGATTGTCTTTGTTCTAAGTATAATGGATAATTTTCAATCACATCCTGGAAATTTTGTCTATTATGTTAGGATTTTGAGTTATATTTAAACTTCTTTTTTAGCAGGCAGTCACATTGTTTAAGTTTTTGCTTATGTATTCTGATGATGTAATTCTTTAGATATATAAAGGTTCAGGATTGTTATATTTCCCTGGCAGCTTCCTTCTTTTTTGCTTTACATATAAGAATGCATCTTGCCTCAAAAACTATTTATTGGATTCTGTCACAAGAATTTGCCTCGTAGAGCTTTTGAATTGTGTGTATTCTTTTCTATCTTCTATATTATATTCTGTATTATTTTATTTCACTTCTTATCTAACAATCAATATTTATTATGAATATTATTACTATATCAAATGCTCACTTATATTTAATAATTTCATTTTTTTACACTTTATCTTATCCTGTTTTCCCCACTTTTTTCTTCTGGGTCTAACTTCTATCTTGCTGAAATAGATCCTTAATGACTTTTCACTAGCAGTCCCTCTCAGTTTTTGTTTTGTTTTTTCTTGAAATGATCTTATCTTTCTCTTTTTCTGCAATATAAAGTTAGTTCAGGATAGAATTCTACATCGAGAGTTATTTTTGCTCAGCACTTTGAAGATATTAATTTTTTTCAGATAAATGTATTTATTTTTAAATTTATTGTCAATGCAATTGTTCTATACAGAAATCTGTGGTTTTCTTTTGGTTATATTTACCTATCTATTCATCTAGACATGATTTATTATAATTTTCTAGTCTTACGGATTAGTCGCAGTCTCTATCAAAAGGAAAGAAAAATATTTATACTATCAAAATAAAAATCTGTATCTTCTTCTATTACAGAAAATTCTTAACAGTCAGCTCTTCTTCAAAATCTCTCCCATAAAAGTTGGATTTTTCCACCCAAAATTTACATTCCATAATCCTGGAGCATTTTTGATACAGATTGGGGAGAGGGGTCTCACCAAGTGGTGAATGTAAATTCCATATTATGTCGTGTTTTCTTTAGTTTCAGATAATTGTGTCTTTTTTTACTTAACCTCAGACCCTAATATAAAATACTGTGCAGGGATTTTTATTTTAGCCTTATTACTTGTAGAAAATAAACCTCTGTGGTCCATCTTCAGTGTAGTTAGCTTTCAGTGGAAATATACTAGCAGCATGCTTACCAGCTGCCGTAGAACAATTCCAGCATGTCATAATTTCAAGAGTTTCATCAAAAGGTTGATGAAACTTGGGGACTCAACAGGGTTGAGTCACACATGTAGTCACCTGTTGTAAATGGCTAAAGGCATTTTCCCAAACCTGAATAGGAAACTGATTGTGGCTGCCAGACAGTTAAAGGGTATCTTAATTTACATGTTATTGCCTCCTACTGGCCAAACACCTGAACAGCCTTAGGCTATTCCCCGATTCTGACAATGGACTCTGTACCCTTTGATACCTTACCCAGTGAAGTGTATTATCTCCACCTTGCCTTAGGACAAATTGTGTTAATAAAAGCAAGGATCCTAGACAAGGAGGGGCTCTTCAGTTCCTTTAGCTGAAGGTCCTCTGACCCCCAATGCCTTTCAAAATTATGTCTCGTCTCCGGACTCTTTATTGGTCTCTGGATTTCTGTGTCATCTACGCACAGCCCCTTTTCCAGATTCCTGAACCCTTCTTGATGCTGGAACATAAACCCCGGCAACCAGCCAGTTACTGAACCACAAGGCTTACCCAGATAAAGTCCCAGGGCAAACTGTAATAAGAACAAGGAAATTTGTATGTGACCAACAGCACCTATTCCAGGAAGACCTTCCCAGCACAGGGAGGTGGAGACAGCTAGAAAGGTCCTCAGACTACTTTTTGAATAACCCAATGGGAAACAATAAGACCTAGGTGACATTCGGGGGGGGGGGGGGGGAGGGGGGGGATGTTAACTCCATAGTACTCAGCGGATGAGGAACCTGGAGAGAGACTCTTGGGCACTAGGGATAAATTGCTTGTGGTAACTTCTCAAAAGGGTGCGCCTGCTCCACCAGACACCCAATCTTGCAAGACCGCCATTAAACGTTTTGCTTTTGTTGCCTTTGTGTCTCTGAGTCCTTAATTGACTTCAGACAGGTGAGCATGTTTTTCATGTTACTTAACATCACATCTTCTCTTCCAGCGTGGAAGGTGACACTTAAGCGTCTGTTTTCAAGCTACACCCAGTTCTTAAGTGCCTCCTAATATTCCTCTTCTTCATCTGAGCTTTGCTGTAATTTAATTTATGGATTGTACATCCAAAATGTCTATTAGTATGTGCTTTAGCTGAAAGAAGGCTTTCTGTAATATCTCAATATGTTATGCTGCCAGAAATCACGTGAGCAAGTCTGAACACCTGCCTTTTTTGGGTGAGGTGGACCAAAATATTTTGTCTACAGTTGGGCAGTCACTTCAAAGTAAGAAGCATTCCTTTTGTGTTAGAAATGGATGAGGTCCAATTATAAATCCATCACCTATTGGAGGTAGTAATAAGTATCAGACAAGAAATTACATGTATTTCTCACAAGAAAATTTCATGCATTCCATGTCCTGTTTATACATTGTCTTTAGGGCACGGTGTTCAGTACTTGCGAAAACTCACAGAGAGTCAGAACTTTCTGTTTAGCCCAGTCACTATAAACTATAGTGGTAAGCTCAGAATCCTTGCCTCTGAAAGATATACTGTATCAATTTTTAAAAGGAGCATTTTGAATAGGAACTACCATGAGCTTACTCTACCTATGATTATTTAATTTCATAGTCAATCCTAAACAACCAGTGAAATTGGGAATTATATTTGTCAAGCAAGCTTAGCTAGGACTATTAATTTGATAATTAGGGAATGCTATATTTATTTTATAGGTAATATATTTTTAAAAATAGTTTAATTGACCTAAATTCTGAAAACTTTTGGTTTGCAGAAGAATTAGTATTCACTAATTATTTGTTCACCTCTTCACCATACCCATGATGTCTGACAGGCTTTGTCATTTCTTATTTTCATGACTAGTTAAAAATTTATAAGAAGTAAAATATATTATCCATATACCAAATAAGTGCCTCTTGACATTATTTACATATATAATATGTTCTTATGTGCTTATATATATATACATGTGTATCTATGTATGTGCCAAAACAATTTATTTTAAAAATGTGAACTATATTTTGTATTTTTGTTTTGTAGCCTATTATTTTGTTCTCAGTGTAATTGTAGATAACACAACGATGGATGGCTATATTACATTTAAATTATTAAACCGGCTTGGAAGGGTTGAAGTACCATGGCTCTATAAGTAAGTATAATTTAATATTATTTTTATTCATAAATTAAATGTTTGGTTTTTTTGAGCATCCAATTTGGAAGCTAATCCAAGTAGTGTGGGTTTTCTATGCAGGGTGCTTTCAAAGGCACGGAGAGAGGAATGTTCCTAATTTCAATAACAGCACACAGACTATAGTCCAAGAGCAGTTGTTTCACACTTGTTCAGAAGTCAAATAAATTGTGAGTCTTGATTACCTTTAAAACATCATGTTCTGTGCAGATCACCATGAAATATTAATGTGTTTTATTCAGATACTTGAATTCGTGCATTTTAAAATAACAGAACATAAAATGTGGAACACTTACCCATGGTAAATCTGTCCATCTAAACCTGGCCAATTAATTTATGTTTTTATTAACAATTATTTGCTAATAAATTTAGTTATGCTTTGAGATTTAAACTGTTTTAGATGCCAGGAAAATAAGAGACTTCTACATGATCTTTTTTCTTTTGAGAAATAAAAAATAGAAGTATTTTTTATTTCTAAAAATTTAATTTTTATTTCTAAAAATTAAAATAGAAATATTTTCCTGCTGTAAAGGACATGTCCTATTATATAGTAGCAAATTAGAATCATCTATAATTATATCACCTAGGGATATTTAGATTTACATTTGGTTTACTGGTATAGTCAATTTCTACACCTTTCCTTCTTTACCTCCTCCTTTTCCTCTTATATCTTCTTATACGTACCCTTGTGCATGTTATGCTTAGATTTCAGGATCCCCAAAAGCCCACCAGGGAGCCAGCCAAGTCCGATGCAAAAGCAAAGCGTCTTTATTCGAGCTAGCTCGGCTCCCCGACCACACTCACCGACACAGAGGCAAGCGCCAGAGAGAGAGAACTCTGTGTGGAGAGGGGTTTTATAGGGGGGTTGGAGTAAGGGGAGGAGAGAGGACTGTGGGCCCTGCCGATTGGCCAGGCGCAAGTCGGTGTCTTGTTACACAGGATGTGGTCATATCTATGGCGCACACTTCCCTTGATTGTCTTTGGTTAGTTTAAAGAAATCCTGGGTGTGGCTAGCAGAGGCTTGGGCTTCCAGGAAGAAGCCCCTTGCCGAGCACATGGCTAAGGCTGCTGCCCAAAAATGGAGGATCCAGGATAAGATGGAGGGTGTAGCCCTCGCCCTTTCAGTGCACACACGTTTTTATTTAGCAAAATTACGATCTTATTGAAAATGTGTTCTGCATCCTGATTTTTATATAAGCATTATTGTGTGATCACTTCTCTATGTTATTATAATCACATACATTAGCCCAGCCAATGTGGCTCAGTGGTTAACTATCAACCTATGAACCGGGAAGTCATGGTTGGATTTCTGGTCAGGGCATATGCCTGGATTGTGGGTTACATCTCTAGTAAGGGGCATGCAGGAGGCAGTTGATTAATGATTCTCTCTCATCATTGATGTGTCTCTCTCTCCCTCTCCCTTCCTCTCTTTGAAATCAATAAAAACATATTTTTAAAAAATAACATACATTAAATATAGTACCAAATATATTATTATGCCAATATAGGATTTTAAACAGGGGATAGTAATAATGGATATTCAGGTTGGAACAATACCCCAGCTGGATGAGTAATGGGGCAATTAGAGTGGAACGATATCAGAGAGGTGACTATTGTAATAATTGATATGATGGGGGCATAAACCCAGTAAGTGGAAATGGGTTTTTAGGATTTAAATAGATCTATTTTTATGATTAAACATGTGAAAATGAAGGAAATAAACCAATCTAGAGTGACTTCAAGTTTTAATCTTTATGACTATTTAAATTACAGTGCCATTCACTGAGCTAGGAGATGTATGGAAAGGAGTCAATTTAATCAATAAAAATTCTTGAGAGCTTGTATAGGACAGAAACTGCACTAAAAATTGGGGGTAAAATTTTGGGCAAATTAAGATTTTTTTGCATAACTTATCTAGTACAACAGATAGACTTTACAAATATATAGTACAAATAAAATGATGTTCATCATTTTTCTATTCAAATGATTTTTATGAATATCCACATGGATGTAGGCACTGTGCTAAATGCTGAGGACCCTACATAATAAAAGCCTAATATGCTAAGTGTCCGGTCATTCAGTTGGCTGTTCAACCAATCAAAGCGTAATATGCTAAAAATATGCTAAGGCTGCTCAACCGCTTGCTATGACATGCACTGAACACCGCGGGGCAGATGCTCCAGCCAGTACATTAGCTTGCTCTTGGAGTCTGGCTGATCAGAACTGAGTGAGATGGGCCAGACACACCCTGGAGCCCTCCTGCAGTCCCTCCCCAGCTGGCCAACCTCCCGCGTCCCTCCCCAGCCCCAATTGTGCACCAGTGGGGGTCCCTCAGCCTAGCCTGCATCCTCTTGCAATCCGGAACCCCTCAGGGGATCTCAGAGAGCCGGTTTTAGCCCAACAGCAGAACAACCAGTGACAATGACGCACACTGACCATGAGGGGGCAGACGCTCAATGCAGGAGCTGCCCCCTGGTGGTCAGTGTGCTCCCACAGGGGGAGTGCTGCTCATCCAGAAGCTGAGCTCACTGCTGGTGAGTGCAGTGGTGAGGAGCCAGCCTAAGCCATCAGTCAGACACCCCCTGAGGGCTCCTGGACTGCAAGAGGGTGCAGGCCAAGCTGAGGGACTCCCCTGCATGCACAAATTCATGCACTGGGCCTCTAGTGCTGTGATGAGAAAAATAGATATAGTCCTACCTTCATTAAGCTTACAGCCTAATGAAGAATATAAATATAATGAAATAATTAATAAAATATGTAAATATAATCTATTCATTCAAAATGTTCTTGAGGAACATTATAATGTGTAAGGAAACATAAAATTGGGGATGAGGATTATTTAGTGGGGCCACTAAAAGTTTCTTTGAGGGTATTTTACATTTATTGGTTAAGAATGAAATGATGAACTAGAGTTAGTCTGCTTTGCTGTATTCCAGGCAGAGACTGATACAGACAAAGATCTTGAAGCAGGAGGGATCATAGGCTATTTCAGGGGCTGAAGGAAGTGCATTATGTCTTCAAATGGAGGCAAGGAGAGAGGTAGAGAGAGAACACCTAGGTTTTGTAGGAACTAGATTTGTAGGACATGTGTCAGGATTTATATTTTATTCACTGGGAAAATGAAAATCACTCATGTGTTTTAACTGAGGCAATCTGGTTGGGTCAGGATTGGATTTTTATTTTGTAAAAACAGCTTGACTTCTGTGGATTGGAAGCAGGAAAGACAGGGTACTGTTACAAAAATATGGGCAAGAAACAGTCTTGCGATAGAGGATTTGTAGTGGAGGTGGAGAAATGAGGATGAATTCAAAGCAGATTCAAGAGATTTCAAAGGTAAAGTCAGTAGGAATTTATGATAGATTTGATGGAGGGATTGAAAGAGAAGATAATATCAAAAATGAACCCTAGTTGTCTGGTTTGGGCAATAGGCAGTGGTGCAATTTAAAATGATGAGGAAATTTGTAAATTTTATGATTTTTTTAAAATATATATTTTATTGATTTTTTACAGAGAAGAGGGTGAGGGATAGAGAGTTAGAAACATCAATCAGCTGCCTCCTGCACAACCCCCACTGGGGACGTGCCCGCAACCAAGGCACACGCCCCTGACCAGAATCGAACCCGGGACCCTTCCGTCCTCAGGCCGACGCTCTATCCACTGAGCCAAACCGGTCAGGGCGATTTTTTATTTTTATTTTTAATGAGAGGTAGGTATTGGGGAAGGTGTCCTTTAGATTAATGTCCTGGGTACATTATAAATGCTCAGGAAATTGTACTTATTAAATACTAAATTTATTTTTCTTTTGAATATCAGGCTTTTAGAATTATTCACAAATATTTTATAAAGTAGCAGAGAACAACAAAGGAATATTATTTGAATATCCACTCCATGATAGCTGTTCAGGGGTCTATAAAAAGAAGCATAAGATGACTTCTCTAATTTCAGACAAATGAACAATCTAACCATCTAGTCAGAAAGATAAAATTTCCCAATTTACCCCAAAAAAGTATTTCCAAATGTTGTGTATGGGGATGTAAATGTTATTATTATTTTGTTTTAAATTACTGTATAAATTATTTCAATAAATACTTTAACAGACACTTATTGTTTGGCCTTTTCCTAAAAAATTGGCCTTTTTCTATCCTGAATTGTTAATATTATATTGATTTTAGAGTGAAATTATATTTCAAATTACTAATACGCTGAGTATATAAAATTTTCTGTTTAGGAAGAATAAATCATTTTATAAACTTCAAGAAGCCAAGATTCTTGCTCAGTTTTTAAATGATGTTGTAAATATTTCAAGAATTGGTTTGGTATATTATCAGGACTCTAATCATCAATGTTGCACATGCCAATATAGCATCCAGCGTCTCATGTTAAAATCACTTACATATCCAGAAAGGTAAGAACATTAAAATTTTATTTAAATAGGTCATCTTTTAAATTTCAACATATTAGCTTGCTAAAAAATGGTTTAAGAATTCCTGTACTCAAATATCGGTTTATTGAGTATTTCAAGATGTATCTGAAAGGTGTAAAATGCATTCTGTTTTTTTTTTTATTTGGATGAGATTCATTGGAATTGCATTACCTAAGTGAGGGAAAACACACACAATTATCTCATAAGACATAACAAAAATGAAAAAAGTAAGACAAATGTCTGCCTTAGAAGTTTATCAATAACTTCTTATAATTGTATATGTATTTAGAGTGGTTTAGAGTTCTTAAATACAATGCTTTAGATGAGGTCCAATGGCTAAAAACTCTATAAGAAGACATGGTTACAGGAGATGTAAATGATCATGATTTTCAATGATCTTTTCTTTTGCCTAACTTTTTAACTTTTTATTTGAGAAGAGAAAAATGTTAATTTTCATCTTCTGTATCTAAGATTCTACAGTTTGCTGGAGATTCAACCCCAAGAATATGCTGACAAGAGTGAGACTCTAGCATGTGCACAATAACAGCATGAGGAGAATCTGACTAATTTTATAGTCACCTGTCTTGGCTTGTCAGTAATATCACAAATATCTTCATTCCAAAAATTATGACACCATCATTACTGTGCGGATACCATTTTTTAAAGACAAGAGACTCTATTGGTATTTTTCTAAGACCATTTAATATGTTCTTCTTGGTTTTATGTCCTCACAACTAAAGAGGTCTTCCCACTATCTTTTCCCACCTGGTGTGGATGCACATGTTCGCCATGGCAGAATTCGTATTTCCAGAAAAACACCCATGTGAAGCACTCAGAACTACTGAGAGATCTTTAATGAGCTGATCAACTGCCAGTATGAATATATGAATTGTTCTAATGCTGTGCATCAACAAAGACAGGTTTTTGGATTGCTAGAAGTCTCTCCTCTTTAGCTGATTGCAGCACTTCAATTTTATGTCTCTGTATATTTCTGTATTGATATATTTGCTTTCCTAAATGCCTTTCTATGAATGTTGAACTTAGTAAGTAAGAATTTTTGAATAATAAATAATAAAAATATTCATTTAGTTGACATTCATATCAGTAGAGGAGAGTTGGGAAAATTATTTGAAATATAAGTTATTTTGTAACTTGTTATAAGATTATTTGTCATTCAAAAGTCAATAAGTAAGATGTAATTATAATGGAAAAAATCTTGGGATAATTTTACTGTCCTTTCCTTTGATTTAAATACTTACAAAAATATAAAAATATATGAATATTCTTAAGAATATTAGCAACATCATTCCATGACAAAGTATATTGGAGGGGGTTATAGGGTCATGTTTGAAGGGCTAAAGGGTTGAATGGCATGGGTCCACTTATATATGGGTACTATTTTAAAAATAAATACATTGGAAAAATTTTTGAAGATTTGTGACAATTTGAAAAACTGCAGATGAACCACATAGCCTAGAAATAAAAAAATTTAAAAGTTAAGTATGTCATGAATGCATATATATGTAAATAGCTTCTCTTCCTTGTGGTTTTTCTAATATTTTATTTTTTGTAGCTTACTTTATTGTAAGAATACAGTATATAAAACATATAACATACAAAATATGTGTTAATTGGCTGTTCACATTATCTATTAGTAAGGCTTCTGGTCAATAGTATGCTTTTAGTAGTCAAGTTTTTAGGAGGGTCAAAAGTTAAACACAGCCCAGTGGGTGTGGCTCGGTGTTTGAGCATGGGGCCATGTGCCCAGATATTGCCAGTTCCACTCCTGGTTGCAGGATTGATCCCTGGTTGGGGTGTGCAGTAGGCAGCTGATCAATGTTTTTCTCTCTCTCCCTTATCATTCCCCTCTCTCTAAAAATCAACATTTTTTTAAAAAGTTAAACAGATTTTTGACTGCTCAGGTGATGTGTACTCCTAACCCCTACATTGTTCAAGAACAACTGTATTTTTATAATCCCCAAAAACTAGGTTTAAAGAAGCCAGGGTTGTTGTACCATCATATTTTCCTATTCTCCCCCATTAATACTTCTGTGAGCATAAGAAATGTGAGTATGCCTAGTATATGGTGACAGAAGATGGTTTGACTTTGGGTGGTGGGCACGCAGTGCAATATACTGATATTTTATTAAAAAAAATACACTTTAAACCTATACGACCCTGTTAAACAATGCCATCCCAACAAATTTAATAATTAAAAATATCCATAAATAAAAAGAAAGGTGAGTATGAGAGTGAAGTTAGAGGCTATAGTTATCATTCTCTGTTTCTGTTTATTCCAGGAATAAAGACTTCTTCCTATACTAGTATATCATAAATGGAAAGAGAAACAAAAAAGATAACTCCATAGTGTAGAAGAAGCATATAATGTAAATCTTGGGCAGACACCAGACATTTAGCTAGAATCTCTACACAAAACAGCATAGAAGCTTTAATGAGAAAGATACATTTAGTTCTATACATGTGAACAGTGAAAGGAATCAAAGGTAATTCATCCATGTGTATCTAGGCAAATGCTAGAACTGGATACTCTTGTCATTATTTAAATCTTTGTAGAATCGTGAAGCTTATTCAGTGCAGTAGCTTCAAGGGTCACTGTCATATAGATAACAATATGACCATAATGTCCCTGAAGATTTGCAACATTGTAGATTTGGTTATAAGCAGTTTTCCCTTTCTAACTATAAGTCAACTGCTGCCATCTTTTGTGGAATATTCAACTTAGTTTTTCCTTTATTGTTGGACTAGAAGCCCAGTGCACAAAATTTGTGCCTGGAGGGGGTGTGTGTCCCTCAGCCCAGCCTGCACCCTCTCCAATTTGGGACATCCCTCTCACAATCCAGGACTGCTGGCTCCTAACTGCTCGCCTGCCTGCCTGCCTGATGGCCCCTAACCCCTCTGCCTGCCAGCCTATGCCTCTAACTACTCCCCTGCCTGCCTGATGGTCCCCAAACCCCCTCTGCCTGCCAGCCTGATTACCCCTAACTTCTCCCCTGCCAGCCTGATTGCCCCCTATTTGCTCCCCTGCCAGCCTGATCACCCCTAACTGCTCCCCTGCTGGTCTGATCATCCCTAACTGCCTCTGCTTCGGCCTCTGCCACTGTGGCTTTGTCCGGAATGACATCCAGAAAGTTGTTTGGTCTAATTAGCATATTACGCTTTTATGAGTATAGATACTTTATTTTTCCTCAATGTTTGCTTATCAGAAACACTGGCTATGCATAGACAACTCTCTGCACTTTGAACACTTTCCTTGTTTTATATTCATAAAAGAAATATCAAGGTGGGAGAACCTTTTCATTTTTTAAAAAATATATCTTATGGATTTTTTACAGAGAGGAAGGGAAAGAGATAGAATGTTAGAAACATTAATGAGAGAGAAACATCGATCAGCTGCCTCCTGCACACCTCCTACTGGGGATGCACCCGCAACCAAGGTACATGCCCTTGACCGGAATCGAACCTGGGACCCTTCAGTCCGCAGGTTGATGCTCCATCCACTGAGCCAAACTGGTTATGGTGGGAGAACCTTTCAAATCTCCCCCCTCAATTCATGATGCTTTCTCTTTGATACAGAAAGCTGGTGAGTTAATAGACAGCTATTGCTTTCTCTAAGCACTTCTCTTTTTTAAGTGACTTATTATAAGGGAAAGGAAAGGCAGACAGATGTGACCACTGTTATATTTGACTCATTATCTTCTTAATTATGGGTTATGTAGAGACATTATATATAACTCATTCATTAGGGTGAAGTCATAGGGATATGCCACAGAGGGAAAGGTAGCATGCATTATAATTTTAATAGACTATGAATATTTACTAAATTTACAAAATATAAGTACAATTATTTTCTATCCAGGGGGAAAACTAAAATACATTGTAGTGTTTAGCAAAACTCTTACTATTTCCTACTGGCTGGAGATGCTAACAGATGCTTAGACAAAATGTATGCTTTAAGTTTAATTACCTAGATAATTGTCATAACAATTTAGTTGCTTTTCCTATTTAGATCTGTCCAAACAGATAATGTGCAATTAATGAGAATTAGCACTGCTAAATTATTGAGAACACGTGTAATAAAAATGCAGTGCCTTATGGTACAGATTAAACTGTTAAGCACTCAACCAGTAATTATCTCTCTGCAACAGACTGTGATAGAGACTGCAACATAGTTCTCTTCTAGGTTTTTCCAGGAGAGCAGTGCCTTCGAATGTAGGGACTGAGAAGGATATTCACAGTGGAGGGACCTGGTATAACTTCCTGAGAAAAGTTGGACTAAAGTTACCTTTAGAAACTTAACAGTAAAGCATACTCTTTTAGGCATAGAGTTCCATGAGTTTGATAAATTCATTGAGTCATATAACCAACCACCACCATCCAGATCCAGAGCATTTCCATCATTTACAGAAACTGCCTTGTGCTGTTTCTTTTTTTCAACCTCATTCCCTACTCCTACTCCCGGGCAATCACTGTACCTGGTTTTGCCTTTTTCAAGACATTATATAAATGGAATCTTATAGGTGTAACCTTTTAAGTATGGCTTCTTTCACTTACATTTCATACATTTAAAATGTACCCATATTATTTCTGATATCAATGGAAATTTTAGATGAATAGTACTTTATGTATGGACTAGAGGCCCAGTGCACAAAAATTTGTGCACTCGGTGCGGGGGGAGAGGTGGAGGGGAAGGTCACTCAGCCCGGCCTGTGCCCTCTCACAGTCTGGGACCCCTCGGGGGATGACCATCTGCTGGCTGAAGCCTGCTCCCCGGGGGATCAGGCCTAAGCTGGCAATCAGACATCCCTCTGGCAGCCCGGCAGCCCTCAGGGGATGTCCACTTGCCAGCGGGGAGCAGGCCTAAGCTGCAGTCAGACATCCTAAGCGCTGCTGAGGAGGTAGGAGAGGCTCCCACCACCACTGCTGTACTGGAAGTCATAAGCCTGTCTTATGGCTAAGCAGAG